CCAGAGGCTCCTGACTTGGGACAGGCTTAAAAATGTGGCGGGGTTAAACATGTTTTGTGAGATCTCCACCCTCCCCATTACCTCTAGCCAATGTATATTAAACAAACACACAGCAATACGTACAATAAAACTCAGTTTAAAAGAAGTCCGAGTCCGATGTCAGAATAGGTAACAAAAGAAACTAAGCAAAATGACAATGATACATAAATTAACAAAGGACTACCAGCAGTTACTGACATGCCAGCTCCAGACCTCAATTAAACTGATTGAAAGATTATGTCTTCATCATATGAAAATCAAGCACAATCCCTCCCGTCAGGGGTTTAGTATCATATCATCATAAATATATGAGAAGAACATAACCCGTATATTATAGAACTACATGTATGTTTGTCGACACAACACATGACCTTCGTCAGTGCTGTCTTTTTTTTCAATATGAAATACTACATTGTTAAAATTATGTGCGCTCCCTTGTTTATCTACAATTCTTAATGATGAAACTCTTGAAATCTACCCACATTTTGTTAAAACTAAATTTGTACAGTATACACGAGTACAAGAACAGTTTTTGTCAAACTTTTCACTAAACGATGTTCAGTTTGTACAATGTATAATTTTCAGGATTTCAGCAAGAAGAATAAGTTGTCCATTTACATTGATATTTTTGCTCATATTTGAAGGCCGTTCAGTGACTTACAGTTGCGTACATTCTCGTCCCTTGGTCTCTGGTGGATTGTCTCGTCCTTTGGTCTCTGGTGGATTGTCTTGTCATTTGGTATCTGGTGGATTGTCTCGTCCTTTGGTCTCTGGTGGATTGTCTCGTCCTTTGGTCTCTGGTGGATTGTCGCGTCTTTTGGTCTCTAGTGGATTGTCTCGTCCTTTGGTCTCTGGTGGATTGTCGCGTCCTTTGGTCTCTGGTGGATTGTCTCGTCCTTTGGTCTCTGGTGGATTGTCTCGTCCTTTGGTCTCTGGTAGATTGTCTCGTCCTTTGGTCTCTAGTGGATTGTCTCGTCCTTTGGTCTCTGGTGGATTGTCGCGTCCTTTGGTCTCTGGTGGATTGTCGGGTTCCTTGGTCTCTGGTGGATTGTCTGTCTTGTCCTTTGGTCTCTGGTGAATTGTCTTGTCCTTTGGTCTCTGTTGGATTGTCTTGTCCTTTGGTCTTTGGTGGATTGTCGCGTCCTTTGGTCTCTGGTGGATTGTCTCGTCCTTTGGTCTCTGGTGGATTGTCGGGTTCTTTGGTCTCAGGTGGATTGTCTCGTCCTTTGGTCTCTAGTGGATTGTTGCGTCCTTTGGTCTCTGGTGGATTGTCTCGTTGTCGATCACGTCATTTCTCATTATTTTATATTTGATGCAATTGTTGTTACATATAAGTTTATATCAATGTCTATATATGTACATGAGACATGAGTATTCTGTCCAGTAAAGGTGGCACGGTAGTATTTCCTGGCCCATAGGGATAATGATAGCCTTTTTAGAATTTTCACCACTTTTTAACACTCCCCAAGAATCAACATGAACAGTTAATTGAAGTACTTTCATTATAATATTCAGAAATAAATGTGAGTATGTATGATATAAAAATAAGGAGATGTGGTATGATTGCCAATGAGATAACTATCCACCAAAGTTCAAATGAAGTTGATGTAAGCAATTATAGGCAAACGTACGGCCTTCAGCAATGAGAAAAATCCATACCGTATGGTCGGCTATAAAAGGCCCCGACATGAAAAATATGAAACAATTCAATTGACAAAATTAACTGCCTATTTTTTAACAGACCAATTTACGAAAAACAAATATGACATACATGAACCAACTACAACCACTGAACTACAGGTTCCTGACTTGGGACAGCCACATATAGAATGATGACCGATTACTTTTTCTGCTATTTTTATAAACCTAAGACAACTAGTGCTTTTATGTCTTTTATCGTGCAGTGAATACAAAATTATCAAAAATCATTTTCCCCTGCATGTATGTAAAATTATTTCATATTTATCATATAATACTGTATTTTTGTCCAATCACAGTGTTCAGATACATTGACCTAAGTAGGGACCTAGTTCTCGGAATGTAAATACTATCGTGCCACCTTTACAGGGAAGATTTGATTCTTTATTTCATTTGAAATCCACAGTTCGTACAGTACTTTTTCTTGTCGTACAGGCTTAATTAAGTATTTACGACGATTAATAGTAATCGTGTAGTAATGTTGGTTCAGTCGGCATTATGGAAATGACCAAGATCTTTGTGCAGGCATCATTACAATTTACAGAACTCTGTACACCCAAATAAAACTAAATTAAAATGTCTTTGAGGTAATAATAGAATTGAAAATTCTGCATTGTTGAAAATTGTTGATTGAAGATTACGAAAAGAAATAAAATCTAAAAAGTAATCAGCATTTATATTGAGTAATTTCTTCATTATCTTGCGGAATCTATGCTTTGATATTTTAACGTAGAGTATTTTACCGTTGATTGGCGTTCTACATATTTTTTTCTTATAAGTTGATTTTAAATATAATGAAAATGAAAACGAATAACTTTTCATTTTCAGTAATTTATTTCACAAATATTTTTAATAACCTTTTTTTACTTATATCCCGTTTCTTTAATTTTAAATTAAAGTTACATTTGATGAAAAGTTGTTTTTTTCGTTCATCCATACTATCGATGTAAAAGATTGGAAAAGTAAATATTCCTTAGACACACAGATTTATCCATAAAGGTGAAGAAAACAAAACCTGACACTGCATCATATGAAGACGGCATACTGTCCTGAAATTGACACCAGATGGTCATACGAACATGAAATTTTCAATTTCTTGCGAAGATGACCCCGAACTTGGTCAACAGCCAAACAACAACCGAAGTAAGTCCGATGCCTACAGAAGGTCACACGATGGCACCAGAACCACACACACGGAGGGCAAAATAAACACACAAATTCAACACAAAAATGAACCTTCGCAATTCTTTTTGACAATTTTTTGGCGTGCCAAAGATTTTGCTACCGTTCACGAAATTGCTGCCGAAGCCTGAGAAACTGGGAAAGTCAACCGGCGGTCATATATACGATGGCCTTAAGATGCCCTCACGGATGGCGCGATGTTTTTACGATCGGATCCGAATTTGAACATTTCCTGCATCGTGTGTCCATCTTGTGTCAATTTTGGGACAGTGTGTCGCAGGCAATGTATATAATGGTTGTAAATACCTTTAAGTTTGTCCTTTGGATAGTTGCCACATTTTTATTTTTGTATCATTATTATAAAATGATAAAAAGGGATGTCATTCATATTGTTGGACAGCAACCAAACGACAAAAATCCATAAAACATTTTGACGCCAATATACATTTTGTTCGTTATTTAACAATAGATAGATTTTAAATCGCCTCGAGTTTTGAACATAGTCGTTAACTTTTTAAATGTAATTTGGAATGTTAGCTTCAAATTCAGTAACACGTCATGCTGGCTGACAGGTCAAGAAACTTTTGTTGGGGTGAGGGGTTGTGACTGTAGATACATTTTAGTGTATTATAAATCTATAAATGCAGCATCCACTTCTTACCTTAGCTGTATTTGGCAAAACCTTTCGACATTTTAGGTCCTCAATGCTCTTCCTCCTTTATTTGTTTTTTTTTTATTCGAGCGTCATTGATGAGTCTTTTGTAGACGGAACGCGCGTCTGAGGTACAATATTTTAATCCTTGTATCTATGATGAGTTTATTTTTCAATCTGTTAAGAAATTGTTTATTTTTCTATTTCGTATTGAATCAAACTTCAAATCAAGTTGTAATAGAAAGAAAAAAAACATGGTACATTAAAAATTGAGCGATAGTAATTTTTGGAGTATGGCTAAAATTGAATTTTAGGATCGTGATTGGTTTGTTAAATAGAAGGAAATAGACAAAATGCCAATAATACATGTCACTAAAAACTAAAATTGCATTGTTTAATCATTTGACATTCTGTATGAAATTTGATGATAAATTTAAATCAATTTAAACCTACATGTAGAGTTTTAAAAGAAAGTAGGAAAAGTCAAAATTGTCTTAAATAATTGCAAGATATATGAAAAGGTCTCATTCTTTTATAATGAAAACAGAAAATTGTGTTTGCCCAAATAAACCTGCCAATTTCCTCGATAACTTGTGACTGTAGTAAAAAGATCGTGATATTTTCAGAGGACAAATATTATAAAACTGACTTATTTTTTATGTAAAATCTGTTATGATCTTCTGATACAATCATAAAGCTTTTTAGTGCAGGAGGCAAATACGAGTGGGTGAATAAAATGTTGGATTTGGTGTTACAAGAATTTTATTCAAACTATGAAATGTAACTTCTTTAGTTGTAAATTAGCATTGATATTATGTCTCATATAAGAGTACATTCAATCGACGTGACTTATACATCAATTCAACATTACTTCAGTTGTCAAGGTAATTGCTAATCATCTTGCGATTGCTGCATAAATCATCTATAATTATAAGCTCTCAATAAAAATCAAATTACTTTATTGCATTATTTTACGACATGCATTTTCTGTCAGAATCAATTAAGTTATTTTATAGTCAGACTTTACTTACAATCCGATTTAGCACTCACACCTGTTCAAATGCTGAGTGTTGCCAATGATTTTTAATGGAATGGTGGTATACCTCCTTGCATTAGATGTAAAGAGAATTAAAATAAACTATGTAAACCTGACCTTCTTTTTGACATAAAATAACTGTTGATGACGTTCAAAGGGGCATTGTGCATCATGAATAATACCATATTTCCATTAACAGGTCAACACTCGCCATGGAATTAAGTATTTCCGTACTATTCTCTAACCAGACTTGATTTATAATGGTTCAAACTTATCTCTATCTGTCCTGATTGGGGTTAAATGATAAATAAATTACATTAGTTATGTATGGATTTTAAGATGTTGTTTGAGATTTATTGCAAATTTTTCAATCCAACATTCTCTATTTTTCAGATTTCAAGATTACAGAAGTAATCATGTGACATTGAAACATATATAAAGAAACCTGAGCGACAAGATGTCTGTGACAATTTCAAACATCACGTCAATTGTGACGTCATCAATGAACACAACCGAAAGAATAAATACGACATCGGTTACGTGTACTCCCGGGGCCATGCTATTCACTAGCGTTAATAGTTCGTCACTTACCCCGTTACAAGTATTTGGAGTTGCCTATGCCTACTTACATGGATACATCAGTATTTGTGTTTGCCTTTTTGGTTTCATGGCAAACATGGCTAACATTATAGTATTGACAAGGAAAAATATGATTTCATCGACAAATTTTATTTTAACATGGCTAGCTATAGCGGATTTATTTACAATGCTTGATTACTTCCCTTTTGCAGTGCATTTTTACATCCTGAAAGATGTGGATTTACCCCCATTGTACACTCGAGGCTACGGTTGGATTTGTTTTCTTCTGTTCCATGGCAGCTTCAGCATTTGTTGTCACACAATAGCAATATGGCTGACAATAGCTCTGGCTATTTTTAGATTTTTGTATATATGGTTTCCAACAAGAGGTAGCACCTTGTGTTCACTGGATCATGCTCAAATCGTAATTGTTGTAATAATTGTTAGTACAATTATTTTCACAATACCTAACGTTATTGCAAACGACTTTGATTTTTTGGATGTATGCGATAAATCCATAAATACAACAAATAAAAGTACTGTGATATCTCAAGGGGACAGGATATACCACTGGAAACTCCGACAAGAAAATGCCTTCTTTCGCTTTAACGAATCTTTAAACTTTTTTGTACAAGCCAGCCTGATGAAGATAATTCCATGTATAATGCTGACACTTCTGACAATCTTGCTTGTTGTGGCCATGCATCGAGCATACAAAAGACGAATGGCTTTAAAGAACAAGGGTAAGAAAGAGGACACGGACAAGCACAATGAACACAACCGCACTACGTTAATGTTGCTAGCAGTTGTGGTTTTGTTCCTAATTACAGAACTACCACAAGGTATCATGACAATTCTCAACATAGTTGATATTGAAAGATTTTACGAAAGTGTTTATATGCCTCTCGGTGACTTATTTGACATTACGGCATTGTGTAATAACGCGATTAATTTTGTCTTATACTGTACGATGAGCACACAATTCAGAGAAACTTTTCGTCAAACATTCTGTAGTTGTTGCCCAAAAATTCGTCCAGGATGGAGAAAAATGGGTGTGGCACACGCTGAAAGGAATGGAGCTACAGTTACAACTACTCATGTATAATTATAGAAGTTTTTCCGTCATTTAAAATTACAACAAATATTTTGACACATGAATTTTTCAGCATTTGTGAGCAAAGACAAAAATGGTCGTGACTGCATAGATTTATAATTGTTTACATTAAATGCATATTTTTGCCTCAAACCGGTCACAACCCTCTTTGTATATATTATTAATATGTCGCTAAAACCGAATAAGTACATGTATAGGCATTTTATTTTCGAGAAATTCGTTAAATACAGAAAATTTCTATGGATATGCTAAAATAATTTTAATTTTTTTTTGTAAACCAAACAAGATAACAAGACACCAGGAACTACTCTGGTGGGGACAAGAGATCGGTGTATATGTACTTTATACAGAACAGGTTCGACATAACACCCTCATCTGTCCTTTATACAGAATAGGTTCGACATAACACCCCCATCTGTCCTTTATACAGAACAGGTTCGACATAATACCCCATCTGTCCTTTATACAGAACAGGTTCGACGTAACACCCCATCTGTCCTTTATAAAGAACAGGTTCGACATAACACCCCCATCTGTCCTTTATACAGAACAGGTTCGACATAACACCCCCATCTGTCCTTTATACAGAACAGGTTCGACATAACACCCCCATCTGTCCTTTATATTTAACCGTCACGTACTTTTCATTTTTGTGTTATAAAAATGAAAGCAACATATAGTAAATGATCGAGCACTGTGTAGAAGGTTATATCCACACTCATCTGTTATTATACGTCACCTTTAATGATTAGATAAGTATATTAGTTGTTTCTCTTTTAACCACTGTTCTTAAAGGGTGGTCAATCTATTTTACATATTTATTATTTACTGATCTGTCGACTTATGGCTTGAGAATGTGATAAAATAATTTCAATCAAAAGAAATATTCAAAATAGAATGTAGTTGATCATCTATCCGTGAACTAGAACTCTGAATATATCTACAGATGTTGCTACAAACCAACTTCAAAACTATTTTATACTAAAATACTTCTGTTTCAAGATTACCAAAATTACAGACTTTATTATAATTACAAGTTACACATTTAATTTATTTTCAAATATATATTAAAACTATTCTTTATTTTATATTTATTATCATTATCTTTGTTTTTTTGAAAAGTGAAAATAAAACGAATTTATACCGGTAAACAATGTCAAATATGCAATAGTGTAGATTCATGTTAACTTTTCTTTGTCAAAGTCTTTTAGCGTGAATAACTAAGATATTTGTTTAAGTATTAGATACACCTTGGGATCGTTAGCTCCGAATGGGTGTATCTAATTTACACAAAGATATTATTGTCAATGTAGAATGATAGTTTTCAATAATTTTGAAGAGGAATTCTCAGCGATTTGATAATATGTTATTGAAAAGCATGATAAATGCAGGGTACCTGATTTCATTTATCGACATCTTGGTGATAGTATTACAATAGGTAATTGACCAATACACGTTAAGAAGTAGAAAGTTAAAGTAATTTTCAGGTTAAAGCTTATAACTTTGCACATAAACTGTTTACCCGATATTATTCCCGCACACTTTTGGCATCAAGTTGTTATGGCAAATTGCAGACGTTGAAAATGTAAGATTCTTTTTGCTCATACATTTAGTTTATAAATCAGTTAGGCTATTGTACTTAATTCAGTACATTGTAGTTTTGTGCCTTGCAAAATCCTGCAACCTATTGGCTGTAAAATATAACTTTATAGCTTATAAAACTAATGTAAGTATTAATCATTCTCTACTGATGTATCATATACATGTTATTTCTTTTCAAATATTTATAAATGTGGTTAAAAATATTAACCTAAATGCTACGCACAAGCCTTACAATGCACATATAGATTGATATCTTTCCATCAAATCGTTTCGGGGGTTTCTTTTTAGTTCTCAGGAGTTTTAAATGCAGGATTGATTGGAATAGCTATGTTTAGATAATACATTATTTTGCATAAACCAGAATTGTATATAATCGTATTTGCTGTTGTCGTAGTGGTGCCTTGATAATAAGTAATATAAGTTAACATCCCAGTGAAGAATTTTGATTACTTTGTAAATTTATAAACTATACAGCGTAAATAATCTTGATAAGTTTAGTTAGTTATAATAATTAAAAAGAAAAGGCTTTGTTTTTTATATTGAAGATATTAGTTAGACGTGCATAGGGAATTTGCTTCGAATCATGTAAAATACTATGTCTTTTAATATGTCAAAATTATTATTATAAAAGAGGTGTGTTAAAAAATCTTAATAGATTTAGAAGTTGAATCATCCTATCATCTTCATGAAACCTTTGTTAAATCCATTCTGATAAGTTGAAATCTAAATCCTTGTTCGAACAGATATAGAAATTCAAATTAAAAACGTATTTTGCATTTTAAAAAATAGCCCTCGAAATTAAGCCTGAACTATTTGTCACTGGACGTTAAAGAAAAAAAAAACCAATCAATTCCAAACAATCATGTTTATTTACAATTGTTAAATATCACAGGAATTTCAAGTTACTAACTTTGATTCCACTAATCTAATCTTACACCGGTCGACCTGATCACATTTGAAAAAAATCACTTTTGATATTACGTCAAATATTTTATTATTATGTGATTTTTATAACTTCGTAACAGTAGATCAATGATCAGTTGCAATGAATAACTTGGTAAACAACGTCCAAATGCAACTTCAAAACTGGGTTACAAAAATATAAGGCACTGTTCGTGTTGATTACAAAAATGCAAATGATTTTAGGCATATTGAATATTGATTCATTTAACAAAATAATTTCAGCAGATGTAAGATTTAATCAAGAATGAAGGACATATACGAGTGGCACTAATATTCAAGATTATCCAATTCAGATAAATAGATTTTTCACAAAATGACCGTTAAACAATAAAGTAAGGAAGTTGACACAGTGGAAGTTTCTAAAATATCATTTATTTTTGTATGATTTTCTTTCTTTTATAGGCTAACACAAGTTAAGGATATTATTAAGATTTATCTGTTTTATTTTGTGTGCAGTTTCTCTTAGAAAAGACAACATTATAAATAACAATTTGATTCCTAGTTAATAAAAGGAGATGTTGGGCATACTTCTGTAATATATAGACACACAAGGACAACCAAATCTATGTGTAGATAGTAGATGACTAATGTGAATTAAACGGCATCACACAAAAGCTATAGTTCATGTTTATATCTTGTATTAAACCTTTTGAACATATATCTTGTTACGATTCTTTTCTTATTGGAATGATCTGTTACTGGTAGTTATATTTCAATGCTCTGACTATTAAATGCGACAAACATTTTATCAATTCTACTTACATGTACAGACAGGTTCAAAAGCTGCCAAATTAATTGAAAAATAAGGTATTATTTAGATATATCGCAATATTGAAGTTCTATTTCTGTCCTTTATTTTCAGAATATATAAAACGTTTAAGCATGAAAAATGTCTGTATTCTTTTAAAGTAAAAGATTGAAACCTTTATGCAGAAACTTTTATATTTTCTGTTTGCCAGTCTTTACTGTGTATATTATAATAGTGTATTCACTGTAGAAATATCCATAATTAATATCATTCTATTTCAAGATTACAAACACATATTCGAATGTATCACACAAATATTTTAACAACATATTATTCAAATAGTCATGAATTAAGCAATAAAGATATTTAAAATCGTTAGTTTGTCCTTTTGTATTGGTCCTTTGATTATATGACCGTTTGAAATGAGATGACAATCACACAAAATTGATTTTCTTAGATGAGTCTGTAAATATTACTTAAATAGCTGATATCGTCAACACTAAAAAGTGCCATCTTTACCGCGAAATACAGTCTCCTCGACTTTAATGGAAAAAAGAGTATTCGATGCAATCTGATGCAACGCTATACATCACCGTATCAAATGTGAAGCTTTTAACGGTTTAGTGTGTAATTGTGTTCAGTATAGGAAATAAAACTGATATCGAAGCCATTAATGCTATCTAATTGAAAATACCCATGATACTGCTATCTCAGAAACATCTCTTTGTTCTAGGTGCAAACATGCATATACAAAAGCACAACAGGTACATTTTGATCAACTAAAAAACAAATACATGCATATACCTATAAATTGTATCTTTATGTGATCTGAGGACCTACTTTGACATGTTCATTGATATTTTGCATGCTATAGTATACCTAGGATGTCCCAAAGGTGTGTTCGGAGAGATAAGTTTATTTAGTACATTGCGATGGTGTGTGCTGAACCTGTATAAGCAAACTAGTAATTAAAAAATCATTAAATAGTTTAACAGTTGAAATCAAAGAGCAGGATTCTTAGATTTTTTATTTGATTTCAACTAGCAAACGATTATGAAAATTGGCACGATACACAAAAGAACCGAACTAAAAAATCGGGAAAGCTCTGAACATTGAAAATACTAAACATTTTAAAACGAAAAACCGAAATGTCGTGATACCTTTGTCGTGAAACGCGCTTCTGGCATACACAAATTTAAGCCTAGTTTCAATGATGAGTTTATTTGTTGAAATTATTTGTTTTGGTTTATTGGTACCTATAATATTTAAAAGCAAAACACATACCTTTTCTGTAAACGCATGCTCCGTTCATTGAGACCGCATATGTTGATCTATGGATTTCTCATTACATTTATTGAGTTACCAGTGACAAAATTCTTCGGCAGGCTCTCGAGACTGCATGGAACAAGAAAATAAATTGGTGTTTGGAATACATGAAGCATTACAATCAAGATTATACATATGTGTTTGTAATCATTTTAAGAAGGGTACTGTCTAAGACAATATAAAATTATAGTCGTATACAGTCGTTTGTTTCATCAACACAGAAATATTATGATAGGAGACATATTTTCATTTTGTTCCAATCTTACATCTCGATCATTACTGTACACTGCAAACAATGGGTATAAACTATATGACAATATTACGACTGTCATATCAGGAGTAGAATCTCACGGAACACCTCTCTTCTAATGCCAGATGTGCTAATATTTATGTTTAAGTACCAGCCCTGTTTAAGCACCAGCCCTGTTTAAGCACCAGCCCTGTTTAAGTACTAGTACCAGTCATGTTTAAGTACCAGCCCTGTTTAAGTACCCGTCCTGTTTAAGTACCCGCCTTGTTTTAGTACCAGCCCTGTTTAAGTACCAGCCCTGTTTAAGTACCAGGCCTGTTTAAGTACCAGCCCTGTTTAAGTACCAGCCCTGTTTCAAGCAGGATTCGTGTAGTGTTTTGTCGACTGTTAGTTTGTTTTGTTTGATAATTTTTTGTATTTTGTATTTTTTGTTTAATTTGTATCATCTGCTTCTCCGCTAAGCACGCGTCATTTAAGGAGTTAGAGCGAAGATTGGTCGGTTCGGAGTCCGAATAATGTTGCTGGGTAGGGTGACATATCTTCTTGCGGATTGTTACTTGTTAAACTAGCACATTAAAAATCCGTCCCAGCTTACGGTCTGGTACAAAGCAGAGTTCATATTCATGTATATGCATCAAATTTGCCACTGGATGTTAAACGACCATCCATCCTTCTATCATTTGTATTATATTAACTCTGTTCGAAAATGTTTCTGTATGGTTTGTTTTTCTCATATTTACTTCTCCATTTCGACCTCAGTAATTGGCATAAGTACATTTTTGTAAGCACTTTACAGTACGCACTGAATAGCCTCTTTGAAGAAAAAATATAAACGTCGCTTAAATAAAATATCCTAAAAATTGTGAGACAAGCCGTAAGTAGTGATATGCAATATGCAGTCAATCTCTTTGTTCGGGGATAAAAAATTCTTAATTAAGAAGGTTTTTTCTAGATTAATTTCTTCTCTCTTTTCATTCACAAAATCAATGGCAATCTCCTGAATGAAAAGAAACTAACGGAACACCTCTCTTCTAATGCCAGATGTGCTAATATTTATGTTTAAGTACCAGCCCTGTTTAAGTACCAGCCCTGTTTAAGCACCAGCCCTGTTTAAGTACCAGCCCTGTTTAAGTACCCACCCAGTTTTAGTACCAGGCCTATTTAAGTACCAGCCCTGTTTAAGTACCAGGCCTGTTTAAGTACCAGGCCTGTTTAAGTACCAGCCCTGTTTAAGTACCAGCCCTGTTTCAAGCAGGATTCGTGTAGTGTTTTGTCGACTGTTAGTTTGTTTTGTTTGATAATTTTTTGTATTTTTTTTTTTTTTTAATTTGTATCATCTGCTTCTCCGCTAAGCACGCGTCATTTAAGGAATTAGAGCGAAGATTGGTCGGTTCGGAGTCCGAATAATGTGCCCGGGTAGGGTGACATATCTTCTTGCGGATTGTTACTTGTTAAACTAGCACATTAAAAATCCGTCCCAGCTTACGGTCTGGTACAAAGCAGAGTTCATATTCATGTATATGCATCAAATTTGCCACTGGATGTTAAACAACCATCCATCCTTCTATCCTTCTATCATTTGTATTATATTAACTCTGTTCGAAAATGCTTCTGTATGGTTTGTTTTTCTCATTTTTCTTCTCCATTTCGACCTCAGTAATTAGTACATTTTTGTAAGCACTTTACAGTACGAACTGAATAGCCTCTTTGAAGGAAAAATATAAACGTCGCTTGAATAAAATATCCTAAAAATTGTGAGACAAGCCGTAAGTAGTGATATGCAATATGCAGTCAATCTCTTTGTTCGGGGATATACAAATTCTTAATTAAGAAGTTTTTTCTAGATTAATTCCTTCTCTCTTTTCATTCACAAAATCAATGGCAATCTCCTGAATGAAAAGAAACTAACGGAAAGCATAAAGCACTCTAACAGGACATAAACGATGGTGTCAGAAAATAGAAGCCATAGATCAAACTGTTGTTACAAGTTTAATCAAATGGTTTTCATTACCACCAGTTTTATACACATGTCAACTTTATCAGGTCAAAAGGTTAACTGTATATACAAGATAAGAGACTTTATTCGAAAGTCAAAAACAAGATAGAAATAAACAAGTAAGGAACCAGTCGATGAAGCAATCGCAGCGAAAACACGGACGATAATAATGTTTTTTAAACGAGTTGATAATAGGATGGTCTTGTAATAACGAGCTAGAAAGTATGTATTTGGACTGCTTATCGGATGGAATGTTCAAGGTAATGTATTATAAAGAACCCTGCATTCACTCTCTAAAATAATCATGGTTACTAGTATATGTATCATTGTCCTATAATGCTATCAAATACAAACTGTAATCATTGTGAGAAGTTGATTGAGACCCCAAAATCTGGTGTTGAATTGAAGAAGCAGAAGGGTAACTTCATGTGATTTATGAATAACATGTCCACCCAGAAACCCTTACCACAATCTTAACCTCTAACCGATCTTATTACTTATTACCAGAATGAATTTGGAATTTACGAAAGAAACAAGAAGAGTGAGTCGACCGATGTTTCTGAAATTTCTCACTCTAATGACCTTCCTCCCTCATACTAATGACCTTCTTCCCTTTTACTTATGACCTTCCCCCATCACACTAATGACCTTTCTCCCTCATACTAATGACCTTTTTGGGGTTTTTTTTTATTAAAGACTGACATCGGAAGTTTTATTGACTTTGGAACTTTACATTAACATTCAAAAACTACACTCAGACTTAATATAATGCGGGTTATGGAAATGTGGTTACCTGGATTTTTCCCACTCGTAATAAGAGTGGCGTCCGTTGCAAGGCATAATGATCAGTAAAATTCCAGTCCTATTTTTCAGTGACAATCTCGCTCTTCATCCTGGTCGACCAAATTTGCAGATCATACCGTTTTGATTTATGGTTAACTTATTCTCTTCCTAAATATACTCGAAATATTTGCCACGGGACGTTGAGTCAACAAAAATCAACCAATCAATCAAACACTTTTTCCTGTTTATCTTCATACTAGTCTGCAATCATTGTGTGGATATCAGGAATATAATCTTTAATCTAGAGGATCCAAGGAGTATGTATCGCCAAACGAGCATTTTTTGATAAAACTGATACAATGTAATTCCAATTGTCCCTGGCAAAATTACAAAATTTGGGTAAAAATCAGTCTTAAAGGGCAATTACTCCTATTTTGATTTTCTTCATGTTGACTTATTTTTAGATATTACTTTGCTGATTATTTTTGTTATTTTATATTGCTTTCAACCTAATCAGTTATAACAAAGTGAATGTCCTTCTTCTCTCACTCTAATGACCTTCCTCCCTCACACTAATGACCTTTCTCCCTCATACTAATGACCATCTTCCCTCATATAAATTAATTCCCTGGTTTACTCAAAGGACCTTCCTTCACACTCATGACCATTCTAGCTCAAACATATGACCTTCATCTTTCATACTAATTACCTCCCTCATTACTCTCATACTAATTACCTCCCTCATTAATGTAAATGACCTTCATACTGATGACCTTCATCCCTCACTTAAATAACCTTCCATCCTCACACTAATGGTTTTCTCCCTCACAGTAATGACCTCCCTCACTAATGCTAATGACCTTCCTCCCTCACTTTCATGAGATTCCGCCCTAATACTAATGACCTTCCTCCCTCACACTTTCTACCTTCGTCTCTCATACTAATGACCTTCATCCCTCATACTTATGACCTTCCTCCTTACTCTTATAAAAAAATTCAAAAAGTACTGACCTTCTTATC